GAATGGATATTCCTATGCACGTTTTGCATGAAATCTAATTTGGACTTTTGGGGGTATCTAAAATCAATGAGAAATATTCATGTTACTTAAGTAGTCGTTTTTACAGAGTATGGTTGTTGTATTCTGCCGGAAGGAAGTCCTTTCAAAAGCCGGCATCGCGAGGTTACTGAATTATGATAGAACTATACTGCAGACTGATTAGTTTTAGAACCGTACTTACTTAATATTTTTAAATCAAAAGCGCATTTCAGAATTTCTGTTGACATTTTATGAGTTGGCCCACCTACTGTAAATTTATTTGTCCATTATATAGTATAATTTTGAATGCCACAAATTGGGTCAAACTTTCGACAGTTTTGGCACACCATGGCCTAAATATTTGTCACACACTTTTAGGAAAATATTCCCCTATGTGGATGTATCAATAGGTGATTTGCTCAAAGAAGTAAATTTACGAACAAGGTTTTCTTGGCTCCTTAGTGTCCAAGGCATGTCCATATTCTCTTTTTAAAAGTCGAATCTAAACAATGCGTCCATTGGGGAGGAGTCACCTGTGTGAATAAAAGTTTATTATTCTCTCCAGGAACTGCTATGAAGATTACCATCGATTGAAGACCATCGAAAATCACTAGGAAAAATGCATGCTACTTAAGTAGTCATTTCTTTACCAAGTGTGGTTTCTGCAGGAGGTCCAAACGAAGTGCATTCAAAAGCCGACATCCGGGCGAGTCCGAAATGTTAAAGGCTTATGCTGCACAATAATCAGTATAACTGCCCCACTTAAGTAACCCTTCCTAATCGGAAACGCATTCCAGAATCTTGGCCAACATTTCAGGAGACCGGTCACGCACTGTAGACTCCCAGTCTTTTTATAGACCGAGTTATCCCGTCAGTCGGCAGTCATCAATCCGCAAATATTCCCATGTTACACATGAAAAGTCAAGTTGACAAACACGTGCTTTCGGTACTTCTTCGTCAGGTCAATACAGTTACCTGGAGGAATGGAAATGTGCAAAATTAACAGTGTTTATATGTGTCTCAAGGGCTATTAAGTCATTAACACTCATCTTCTTCCCGCCGCCCGCCTGAAGAGTTCGGCGGATTTTGATTCTCAGAGCGAGGATAGGGGGTAAGAGAGTCTTTTAGTGATGTCCTTGGATTTAGTACACGGAGTACCCATCGCTGTAAGTAGGGATTTGAGGCGTCATGTCGTCATCGCCTGAGGTTGGTGTTGGCCACGGTAGAGAGAGCGCTTGTGTCAGCGTTTTATAACAGCAAAGCACTGGATTCGCTAGCTGTATAGACACTGCCTCGGCCGTTACTAGCATCCGTTGGCGTAGGCCTTTAGAACGTCATTCAAAGACTCTCTTACGCCCCTCCCCTAACTCTGAGGACCAAAACCCGCCGACCTCGTCATGCGGATGATGTGCTAATGACTAAATAGCCCTTAATTTTGGGTATTTTCATTCCTCCACGTAACTGTATTGGCCTGACGAAGAATTATCGAAAACACGTGTTTATTCACTTGACACTTCAGACTAAAATGTTTCTCATTACGCCTCTACGAGCATTTGCCATATGTCATATATTCCGTTGAAATGCGGTAGCTAAGGCTATGAATAGTAGGTTGATGTCCTCTTCCGGCGCCATAATGAGAATTATCCTTTCGCGTAAACTGTCCGCTATTGTGGAAGATCATTGTAAACTGCGCAGCCGACTTGCCTTCCGTATACTGTCGATGGGTTTGACCTAGATTAGATTTACTGTTCTACATTTGTAATACGTATACTGCAGTTGCGGTGCCGTAACGTCATCAAGCTTAACCTCATTCGAATGCAATCATGCTGAGACTACGTAACTCTACTGAATGAACTAACAAAACTCTCTCTCTCCTCTTCTGGTTACTGCATGCTTTACGCCTACTATATGACGCGAGTTCCCCGTGCCTAAAACTAGCACTCCGAATGCTTTGCAATGTGCAAACAGTTGGCGTACTTCTGAAACTGGAGACATCTTGCATACAGTAGCCCGAGTCCGACTTCTGCACACAACCGCTTGGTGCTGTAAACCAGGTTTTGCCTTGGTAGTTCTTATCCATCTAGTTAACACTCAACCACTTCTTTCACTGGCGACTTACAATTGTCTGTCAATTACCTCTCCGACTCAGTACCTTTCATAAATTCTCCCATGTCTGAAAAAAATTCGCATGCTATAAACGTTATTTTTTCTCATGCTAAGATACATCTGTTCACAGTGGAGGCACACTAAAAGCCGCTCCCTCTTCCTGAGGGTTGCACAAAGAGGTCTAAAACATTAAGCGCCTGCCGGTGCCAGCACGCATTTTTTCCGTTTTCATCACTTGGATAGAGCCGTCTTTACAAGGTCGTCAGCTTTCGAATGACGAAAAACACTCCGTCAAATAGTCACCTATGTTTATCAGTGGCACAATCAAAACAAGTTCAATATATATAGGTCGTTTTCTTTTATATAGTTTGGGATTGGTTGAATGTGGACTGTGTGCCGTCAATACCGGCCTCTAGCATCCCAGTGAGCATTGTCCAATTAAAAAAGGGAACGTCACGTGTTGAATTCAGAAGGGTACGATTTACCTGCTTGTTATACGATTTAGGAAGCACGCAGATCATCCAAAGTAGCTATGATTTGTCGAATGACAATGATTCTAAGTGGACATTGTAATCCTAGCCGTCTTGTGTGTTTCCTCGTGTCAATGTATATGTATATATGTACGTAAACGTTTCTCTGGAAGATCAGAGAGTTGAGAGTTTGGCTACTGTACTTAACAAACGTAAGTCAGCAGGTTTTCATAATTACGGATCCCAACGTAATTAAGCAGAGAGCATTACATGGCTCTGTATCTGACGAACCACCGTGGATTTAATTTATGCGTAATTGCACTTAATCACCTTATTAATAATGAAACAACACCACTAACTGTTTGTGGAAATGTTTACGTAACTAATGGAAGTTAAGTCGTTGAATTATGCTACTACTTCTCACCTTATGATTTGACTGAGATTTGCGTCTTCCGACATGATACTAATTCTACTGTGCATTTTTGTTAATATTACGGACTTCGAGTTTTTACTCGGCTTCTGCATAACGTGACTTAAGCTGATCTAATAACTGCTGGCTCTTGTTAATTAGCAACGTTCGCGATTTAGAAGTCAAAAGTTTACTTATGCGTCTGAGAATTCTAGGATGCCTATGATTCATTAAAGTTTTTTTATTCCACCAAACCGTGGTGCTTTAAGAATATCTAAATTCGAGCGAAAGGTAGATACCTTGCCAGCGCCAACCCCGCCTAGCCCCCTCAATAATGGCGGGGTTAGAGGGGGCCATGAGGGGGCTGTGGCGGGGCATGCAACGCGATAGCCCCGCCTTGCCCCGCCAGCGAAAAAAAATGCGCAGGGGACGCCACATCCCCGCCCACTTTTGGCACCACTTTAAAATATCGTCCTGTATACTGAGTCCCCTGAGGCGCAGTGCCTCACTGTTCCCACAGGTTACACGTCGGAACCCACTCTGCGTACGTAGAGTACTACGGTATTACATAGTACTCACAGTGACCCCGCAGCACATGTGCCCACTAATCGGCAGCCAATATCAAATACACGCGACGCAAATTCATGTGAATGAGTTATTTATTGTATAAACGAAAAAGGAATTGGAAAATATGTACAATCATAATAAATGTCAGTGCCAGTATATACATGGACTTCAACATATGTTATGCCATTCAGTTGTGCGTTCCAAAAGTCCCCGCTTCGACGGCTGGTGCTTCAGTGATAGCCAGAGTAATTACGCTTCATAATTGCTTTGGATATTCAGTAAAAAACGATAAACAATTTGTATAAGTGGACTACGAACACCAAGGCTAAATATACATACATAGACATACAACTCGACTACTTGAACTGGCTGGTGAGTAGATACCTAAACAATTAGCATAATATACATAAATGAACTAAGACAGCTATCAAGAGCATGAAAACAGCATTGGCTGACTCACGATATTATCTGCAGTCGATTGTCAAATATACGAATAAATAACACACACAGGTTCTAATCCGGTGGACAAATGAGAGTTTACGCAATGAGGGACTTAAACAAAACCTCAGTATATTGTGCTCATCCGCAGCTACATCCAGTGGGCGTTAGCGGATGCTTTCTCCATGATTTATAAGCCAATATTGATAAATAAGCTCCTTTTAATGCCAAAGAAGGTACAATGAGTGGTGCTTTTGAAACATATGTTTCGATGCAAATACGCTTCAAAATGCTTGAATCCAGAGGGGGCTCTGGCCCCACCCAGCCCATTCCAACCCCGCCTATGAAGGGGCCATTTGCTGGCAGGGTAAAAATGTAAAGTGAAGTTACATCATTTTCCTAAGTAGAAGGCTCACCATCCATTCATATTCAGGTAGTTCTGGATTTTTGACGATTTATTGGAGAACTCCTGTTCTACAGATCTCTATGCAGTCCCACTAAAACGAAACTCCTCTGCTGGCCAGTAATCGAGAATTCAAAGAAAGGACCAAACTGTTCGTCACTTGCTGTGTCACCTAACTGTACTAATAATACTAAGATAGAGATTACTCCCACTTATATCATTGCTGTTACTACCATTACTTATCTACTCCGAACACCAGTGCCGTACTACCAGCCACTGACTTTGGTGTTATTATAACTACAAAAACACGAAATTACAATTCTGTTGCCACTATCAAAGCCATAGTAACTTAACACGCATTTCAGATACAGTAGGTTCCGTCAAGCCTTATTTTCTCAATGTATTAAAATGTTTTCCATATTATTGCTCACTCCGCAAATGGTTTAAATGGCGCTCAAATTCCCAGAGAAGTCTAAAATAAAAAATATCATTATAAAAATAATTAAACGCGAAGCGCATATGGTTGCTTCACCCTTTTTCATGAGCAGACGCAGGAGGTCTAAATTTTGGTTTTATTTCAGTTTAGAAAATGGCTCATCTTGAGATTCCTCGGTGGCTCACCATCCTTCACATCTATCTGCGCTATATATTTATAATTATTTATCCCATTATCCTGTCGCCAATCCTCATCTTACATCCTGGAACGGTGAGTTCATGACAAATAGTTTACATTTTCCAACTTTCACAATTCACTAGGCACGTCTCAGTATGGTCCTGCCAAACATGCAAATTTAAGTAAACCCGTTTTTCGGCTTAATACGAAATGCTGTTTACTCGCCTAGGCTTGGTTCCTTGGCTTTTTCTCATTAATTTGAAGTTGTGGCAGATTGTGCAGGCAGAATAATTACTGATATTTATTCAGAAAGTGATGTGTAGTTAGTCACACGACGTTACTAATAAAGTTCTTGACAATAACCAAGCAGAAAATCAACCAAATTTTCAAAAGTCATGGGGAAAGATTCTGAGATTAGAGACTTTATAATAGATTAGGGGTGCTAAATGGCTCTAAAAGGCCTATTGGAATTCCGCATACTATATTGCAAGTAAATCTTCCGAAGCCCAGTGACTCCAACGTCGCTATTAAGCAGTCCGACGTCGTGACTATCCGCCGTTTATTTTTTAAAATACGACGAGCATGCAAGGTTACCTGTTATGTTCATCAGACAACTACCAGCATTTGTGTAGATGGTATCTTAAACTAACTCTGAATAAGGACGTGAATCTCGTTAAAAAGACTGCATAAAGGCGCCCAAAATACCGTCCACAAAAAGTTATTATCCTGCAATCTTTATATTTTAAAGATGAAATTCAGTGTAAGGGTGAATAATTTTGTTTAAAAACCGTTTCAAACACGCTTAATCAAGCTATAGACGTTAACCGATCGGAAGGTATCTTATGTGCGAACCTCACGTAAGCCTTCGTTGGGACATCGACCTCATAAGAAATCGTAAATAACAAGGAATATAAGGCCGTTTTGATGATATTTGAAACATTACTGTGCAGTTTTATAATACTTGCATTATCGAGATTATTTAGATATCCGACTGTTAAGTGGTGCTCCGGCTGAAGAAGTTCCTCACGGTTCATTTTCAAAGTCTGTATTTTACAATGTACCTGTTTCATTCTTTACTAATTAGGCTTTTCGATGACATACAGTTTTAAAAGGCGATTCGGACAAGGCAAGGTTTATAGAAACATCAATGTGGGCATGTTTCTCTCCACTACTCAGCAAGACTCCAGGCATAGATCGAAGACATGGGGCTTGAACTCCAACGTGCTGAATCACGATTAAATTAAACGCTCTACCGGGGATATACGTGCTCGCCGTTATTTTGATCACTATCGGAACCCTAATGTCTGCGTTTATCCATCCATATTACTTGCAGAAAGGAGCAGGAATAGCTGTCTTTGAGCTGAATATCCGCATTAAAGCACTTACAGATAGCCGTACCTTTACCAGCAACTTCTAATCGAGCACTGTTGATAACAAATTTGGGGAAGCTGAAAGAGTAAGTTCCGACAAACCATACAACAACAATAGTTAGAGAGTGCCAACATCTTGAGTTAGTTTAATGTCCATGACGGTTCTAGCACATGCCTGCCGGACGAAACGGAATCCTCTGAGTTCCATCCCACGATCAGGCAGATCAATCCAATCCACTTCCACACGACCGACGGTGTGACATATTTGACTTGCGTACTTAAAATCAAAAAAGTAAAGCATTTTGTGCGGTTTTTTATTTCGAAGGCCATCAGTCTGTTGGCCGTGAAACTCCTTTGCGGCTAAGTTGGCGCCAATTTGATATTCTCACTGGATGGATAGTTTTCGGATGTTTATGGTCTCGAACACGACTTTTTCAGGAAAGCGCTCAATTCATCCTTCGAAAGTTCTTAATTCAGGTTTTTACTAGCTTGGGAACCGCCCTTATGAATCAAGCGCCAAAATTAGTAAATTACGAGATGAAAATGCCACCCTGTGTGACCCATTTCTGAAAGACTGGCGAATAAAGGCGCTCTTATTGTGGGATTTATGCAGACTGCCACTGCAGTTGCGGTTTGACGTTTTTCTTTTGAGAGATAACCTCAGAACTCTGTGTGTTGCCTATCTTATCTTTGTAACTTCCATATAGGAGTCGAAGGCAGCCTATATTCTGCTATTAATGAGCGGTTTCTGGGTGAGCGGCTTCATACCGCTCTACGTGACCGCACTCCTTCCCCTCGTCCTTGGGCCACTGATGGGACTTATCCCCAGCGCCGTCATAGCCAAAGAGTATTCGTCGGTAAGTTAACATCAAACTGAGCCGCCAATAATTTACAAATGCCCAAACTATTCTCAGAAGTTGTTGTTTCATCTGACTTCTTGTTATGTTCTCTTCTTCACGCAACTTCTCCACAAACACATGTTGTTTTGTCAACGCAAACAAAACAGAGCTCCACTTTCTTGTTCCTGGGCGGTATGCTCCTGGCTATCGCGGCGGAAAACATGAATTTGCATCGACGAATCGCCGTCGCTTTCGTGCGCTGGATGGGTCACGATCCGCGATTGTAAGTTCATGAGTATGAGATGTTGTTAAAACCAAGCGTTAAGCAAACTGTTGCACTAATGCATTTGCATTAATGAGAATTCGCCGGTGAAGGTAATATTGTCCGTTTACATGTGGGCAACGCTGAGAGACCGGGTCGTATTTTGATTGATTCGCCTAAGAGGCCATGCGTTTTGAAGGACATTAAATCATTGACAGTCTTTGTGAAGAAGTGGGCACGGCCGCTGGAACAACACCTTTATTCGCCGGAGGTTTCGGATTCCTACTCGAATCCATCGTCAGAGACAATAGCAGATACGGGTTGTTCATGCACAAGGGGCTGCAGCATCTATAGGATGCAGTCGTTGTTCGTTATGATCGAATGCCATCGAATAACACAACCATGGATTTTTGGCGTTACTCTTGTCTGGGCAAGGTCCTCTCAGCCTGCCATGATATCGCCGGCACTGTGTTCATCTGAAATAAACATTCTTCTGAAGGGCACAGACGGTAAAAGACTAAACGAAAATTTTTCGGGAAGAATTGATTTTCCTACCAGGCCGTTTCCGAGAATGATGATTAGTCCTGGGGTGACGTTAACGGTGGCTGTGGGATGCCAACAAAGAAATTCCAGTCATACTTGCTATAGGTGCCGAATGTGATTATAGATATGTGCATGCCGGTAGACGGCACACAAACTTCCAAAAGGGACACGTTTGTAACACAAATACTGTCGCCTATGGGTAGAGATCATGATGAAAGGGTCAGTTCAGTTTATTTGGTAAGGATAATAGGCAAAGCCTTTGAAAACCCTATTGATTACGTGTCAGCTCGTTAGAAATAACTGTACACGAGCAATGCAAATATTCGTTATTAAAACACTACTTGATTTATTTGAGTAGCATTGTCAAATAACGATGCATTACTATGCATGATCGGAAAGATGGTGGATCACACACACATGTGTCCTGGTCGTATAAGTCCAGGTTGCAGGGCCTTTGTGTTTACAGACTCCTAAGGACATTTGTAAATCCACACAAATTGTCATCAGGCAGCATATGCTGCCTAATCACACTGCTCCACATATCGACGAGGAAAGTAGTTGACCCATGACCGAACAAACAGTATGCAAGTCGGTTTAGTTGCAAATAACCTACGCTAAAACAATCCCTATACGATGGAAGAATAGAAGAGAATTAAGGGGAAGAGCCCCGGCGAGGCTCCTTTTACTTGGCATTTTGACAGTGGGACCGCCTTTGCCGAAGATGTCCACCGTGGGCTTCACAGCAAGTTGAGAGCAGGCACGGTGACTTACATGTGATTTCTCTCATAGTGATAGCGCAATTGCGTCGTACCTGCAGCACTTTCTCCTCCCACACCTGAGATCGATGTCGAGACACTGTCCAGAAGACAGGATCGGGAGTGTGCGCAGGTGGCTGACGCGGCCGGGCCCGCGCCTGGGCGTGCCACCACACCCACTGGTCCACAGCAAACACTTGAACAGGATACTAGGCATTTTAGTGAGTAAAGATCTGCATTATCAGTCAGCAAATTAGAAAAATACAATCCTGAACTCCAGATGAAAAATTTGCCGCAATGTCACGGAATCACAAAGAAACGTTAAATACTTACGCAACGGAAGCTGTTCTGGAGGAGACACAAAAACGTCTGGGTGAACAATTCGACCCTAAGCATCTTTGCATGCCGATTTCGAGGTTGCTTAATTTAAGTAGACCTTGCAGCTATCTGCTGCTTTTACACAAATACCTAACTTGCGTCTAGACTGGAGAGCCGGCGCTTCTAACGAAATAGCCTAGCCATTCGTGGACATCAGTGGAGAAAATAACAGAAGCCTCGGTTTTTTTAGAAAACGAACATTTCAGGACATGTTATACGCGCTCTCTTGAAAGTACTTGAGTAGTTTTCAGTCTCCTTTCAAGGCTGAAGGGTCTTTAGCAGTTGCGATACTAAGGAGGGGTTATGTCACACTTGCTGCCAAACTGCGCTCGTCCAAATGACTCCTAATGTATCATTGATGAGGTCCCCTGTCCTCTATTACCAAATGGATATAAATTATATGCTTAATTTTCTTTTCCTATTTAGGCTGATACTGAGCGTGATGCTTCCCACCTGGTTCCTTTCAATGTGGATGAGCAATACGGCCACAACTGTGATGATGGTTACCATTGTGGAGGCGCTACTAACAAAATTGGACGATGTCATTGCAGGTTTGTTAAATGCTGACAACAGTCGCTGCAAAACAAACTATCTTTCTTCCCTTTTGGAGAATAGACCCAGAGCTATAAGTGTATTTTGTTTCTCCTACAGCTCCACCGGAAGGAACTGATCCAAACGAGGCAACTGAGTATGCTTTGAATTACCCCTGATTTTTATACTAGCGTGAAATCGCGTGGCAAATTTACAATGACTCCCTTCTGATTTTAGCGATGACAGCAAGGGCCGGAAGCGATTGCGACGCTTTGCCACAGGAATCAGCTTGTCTGTCTGTTACGCTGCCAGTTGCGGTGGGATCGCTACCTTGATAGGTTCTCCGCCGAATATCATCTTTTATGGTCTTGCAGTCAGGTAAAAAAAACTTTGGTGCATCGGGAGTCTCCGCTTTTTACCCGTTTGGAACGACAGAGTTGAGTGCTACTAGTGTTTGGTTGGGGTACAGTGGGGTTGATACTTTATAGGACAAGGTATAAATGATGATATGATGTTGCTCGACGAGATGACGTCATTCCTTTCCTGATTTCAGCCGATATGGAAGTGAGATTCCGCTAAACTTCGGATCGTGGATGGCTTACGGATTTCCCATGTCTCTGCTCTGCCTAATTTCTACTTGGATTACCATATGCCTACTGTTCCTCGGACCCAAGTAAGTCTACAGGCTAGGCAAAGTCCAGTGAAGAATTGAAGATCAACATGCATTTTTAGAGTTTTAATATCAAACTTACTTCTGTCTCATTAAGGGCCTTCTTCAAATGCGGTCGATCTAAAAAGAGCAACCCTTTGGATGACTTCCAGGAGGAATTCTATGAAGATCCAGCCTCGGCAAAAAGCACCGACAAGCTGGAAGAACTAGAACGCGCCGCCGAACAGGAAGACAATGAAGAAATCTCGTTCGATATTGTTGCTATCGTTAAAAAAATTTCCGAAGAAGAACGGCGAGTCCTAGGTCCCATGAAGTAAGTACTCAGGGTGAAAGATTAACTAAAGCTGAGGTGGCCAACATCATGTTAAAGTAACTTTTATGTCATGCTTGATGTTCAGCACCCACCTTCAGCCCGTGTCGCATCCATTCATTGTCCTTCACATGCTACCCAATCAACTTACGGTGGTCATTTCTGTTCTAGGTTTGGCGAAATAGCCTGCACGATCTTATTCCTATTACTGATTGGCTTGTGGATTACACGGGAACCCGGTGTGCCCGGATGGTCGCGTTTCATGCCAGTCAGCAACGATTCAAATGGCAAAATCGTGAGGTATGCTCATTTTACCCCGTACAAGCGGTCTTTTATTTGCACAACAGCACAGACGAATACAAGAGCCCTAAGGTATTTTTATTCCACTTGTGGATTTAAACAAGCATATGCGAGAGAAATCTTCCTATCTATATGTTTTGCGTTCCCTCATAAACTGTGTCATTTTACTCCATAATATGGGTAGAGGCTAGTCATCACACAGCAGTTTAAATGCTCCCGCGAATCCAGTGGACACAGTCTAGTCGATGATGGGGAGGCATCTTTATGCATGACTGCATAAAGGAAAAAAATATTAAGGCAAAAAGTGGCGTGGGGTTTAACGAACTGGGATTTACCACATGGTCTCGTTATTTGCGTAAGTCCGGCTCGTCCCCCATATGCAGCCTGCTTCCAAAGTCTGCTTTGCGCACAGGGATGTCAGTTGAAAATTTCAGTCTTATCTATAAGTGACAGTTATCAATACCCCCACGTCCAGACTGGCCAATCAGAAGGCATATGGCCTGTCCTAATACCAGACCATTACGGCGAATGCAACCCACCGGAAGTTGTCATTAGTCTTGATCGCAGCCGCCGCTCGCCTGTCAGACCGCCGTTCTGACCGAGCAACTGGCGCAGATTCAAATTTGAGGTCAAGGTTTGGGATGGAGCTGGTCGGTGGCGGAAAGTGAACACTAATCCATCACTAGACCTCTTTTTGATTAGTCCTCGTTAAGCGACCGCCAGCGTTCACTCTAAGCTGAGATTCCAAACCCAATGTGCCACCCATGCTCATTCCTATAGTTTAGTCAGAACGGGAGACCCCACCTTGCTGTGACATAAAATGTTTGATTTAGACGGGGAAACGTTAGCGCATTGTAATAAATGTTGCTATTTCCTTGAAGATACGTGGACGACACTCAACCAACCATCCTCTTTGCCATCTTGGCTTTCATTGTCCCCGCCTCAAACCCCTTCCGTCTTCGTGCTGATCCAGATGAAACAGGCAAGTGATGGCTCTCTCTCTCTCTCTCTGTTTTCCTTGTTCTGATGCATAAAATTGTCCAGGTTCTGATCGTGGTTGTCCAAAATAATAATTTTTCCACATCCAGAGGCAAGAGGGACAGATTTTTGACAGGCAGCTTTTTGTGTAGTAGTGGTGTAGCCAGGCCAAGAGCCACCTATCGCTGCTGTGAGAGGTTTCTGAAGGTATGAGCGAGCGTCTGAGTCATGCGCGCCAAATCTAACCAGCCTACAGAAGCCGCATCATCGGCAGACATCACTATGCCTCCATGCTGAGTAGTGTTTTTGCGCAGGACTTCCTTTAACCAATAGGGCACGTGTCCCAGGCTACGTCAATTCGGGTAAGCAGGATCTCCTGCCACTATGAGATTAGAAGGCCATACATGTAGTACTGCCAAAAGGATACAGGGTTGCGTTCAAAGCTGGACATGGAAGGATGAGCGTGATCCCTCAGTGTACTTTGTCAAGTCGCGTTGAGGGTACGCTAGTGAGGACCTCAGAATCAAAGCTAATATATCTGCCCACAGAACGGGCGCCAAATAACTCTACTCCGGAATCTCCTCTACCGCAGACCAGCCAACCGAAGGTTAAGTAGGACTAATCAGGAGTTCAATCAGGAATGGGCGCACACCGATCTATTGGCTTCACGAAGCAAACAAGCTCTGTATGTGTGGCAAAGGTCACGAACAGGCAACCAATTACGAGACCGAAGTCGGCCAACAGTGACTCTGCTATCCTAGCTTCGTTGACTTCGACCTGGTAGGTGGTTGCCTGTTGGTGACCTTTGCCACCCATACGAAGCTTATTTGCTTCGTGAAGCCGATGGATCGGTGTGCGCCCATTCCTGATTGATAAATACCCGATCTGCAGCGACAGAGAATGACAGGTGGCGAGGCGCTGATGAACTTCGGTTCGATAAAGTGTATATGACCCATCTGGTAGACCCCAGTGGTGGACCAACTGCGCCAGGTGCGGCTGTGCGCGTGTTTTTGTTTCTGGTCTCAGCTGTTGGTCAGGGTTATGATTGGCTGAATGAAGGCAGAATAAGCCCGAAACAGTACTGTATCAATCTACCCGCATTATCTGTCGTCCTTCCTCGCTATTAATCAGGAGTTGGCAGGTGAATAAGACTGACAGTCACAAATGCGGCATCCTCAAGAGTGGTTTTGAAAAATTGTCGTAAGTATAGTCGCTACTGAAGTGAGGTAATTCTTCTTCCGCCACTCCTGTTTGCTTAACTGAACAATCCCAACTCGTGCAGCCGCCTTTGCATGTGATCGTCCTCTTGAGTCACAGAATATATGCTGTCTGCCACGTTCGACCTCTTTGGGTTGCGTTGGAGTTGACGGACATCGTCTACATTCTCCTTGTTAAAAGTGGGATCATTCGGGTGGGATTCGGGTGAACGAATGTTGCTCCGAGTTGTGCTGCGGGTCTAGCAAAAGCTACAGAGACTCCATTACCATATTCAATGCTGCAGCGTGGCCCAGGCTTCTGTAATATATTTCGTCCCTCATTAAGTATACTTTTGGACACTCCTTCGTTCCTGTGAACTCTTGGGAGTAAGTTAATGTCGGATGTTCGGGCTGGTCGGATGCGGCGCAGCGTGCTTCTACTCACAAGCAGGCATTCAAACCCGTCTGTAGTGAGGAAGATAGTCACTTTCCTAGCTTGGTATTTTCACTCCGGCATTTTTTTAGCTATCAGACGACGAGATCGATTGCTCAACCATCATAAACATCAACCAAGCCATGCTACCTACGCCTACTCCGTTTTAAGGCCGAGAAGACATTGAAAAAGACGATGAAACTCCTTGATTCTATTTTGACATTTTTCAGATAAGAAAGCCCGAAAGCGAATAAACCGCAGCATCTTAACCTGGAATCAGGCTCAGAGCCGCACCTGTTGGGGTGTCCTCATTCTCATGGGAGGAGGATTCGCTCTGTCTAAAATTGCTTCAGTAAGTTGCCTTGAAAAACTACTCGGCCTCGGGTTCAAATGACCACTTCCTTGTGCAGTTTCATGCACAAAACGCAGCTCTGGCTTTGTTTTGAAGCAGCCGAACGCTTCAATACGAATCCAGTAGGGTCCTGATGACGTCCGCAATGGAGAGCGACTGTCGATTCAGTCACACTTTTCTCCATCAGAGCAGTCGGGGTTAAATCCCACCTTCTCCTAGAACCTTACAGATTTGAAACCCTTTTCTAGACTCAGGAATTACTTAAGGAAGATGCTTTGACGCTTTAAAGGTAGTCTGTAGTGGCGAAATTGCTAGTACTTCTTCTATCATGTCCTTTAGCCAATAGAAGGATGTTGCTTTGCAGAAATTCCCATTTTGAAACAGTGAAGCATGTATAAGTTTATTCTGTGGCCATGTTTTGTCACCAACCGTCCCAGGAAAGTAGGCATATGAGTTTCGCCCACGGAATAATTCTCATCAACATTGTGACCAAGTATCGTGTCGTGCTTACGCTACATGCAAATTCGGTTTTAATAACTGCAATGACATACGGACATGTTGGCAATAGGAGACCAAAGCGCCAATAACCGCAAGCCTAGAAACGCCGATATCGTCGAATATTTCTAATTTCCGAGGCGACGATCGGGTGAATGACCCCAAACACACATGACCAGCCAAAGGTGCCTGTCTTACGGGAAAAGGCGGTGATAGGGGTTTTACGGGCGGGGCATATGTATGCATAAAGGAATGGCAAAATAAGTATAGATAATTGGTAAATTTGTTTTTCGAACGTAAAGGTTTTAATGCATTGGCACATGGCAATCGAAATTAAGCAGGACAATTAAAAATAAACATTAAGTGTCTACAACAATCGCTTCTCAACTCTCCGAGCTGAGGTCATTGTAGATAATGTACCAGACTGTCTTTAACAGACGACCCAACCTTGTACGATGAAAGACCAAACCAAAATAATCGTGTCGGACTAAAACCCACTTAAATAAGTATAGGAAGTTTTCATTGCACGCCACTGATGCTTGGGGGCCTTCACCCGATCCTTACAATTTCCGATTGAGCTTTAAGCTCTACTCAATTAGCTGGGCAATACTCATGACTGACTGCTCTATGCGCTAATTTCTTAGCTCTCGCTCTGTCCGTCACGATGCAGACTGTTCGGCTGATGATCAGTAAGCGTCTGTTAATCGGGTTAACGATTTTAGCTCCTACACAAACGTTCCGTCAGTTTTGCAGCCAACATATGAGATTTTCACAGGCGGTCGGGATGTCTTTCTCACTTTTGACCGAGATAATCTGGGTTCTTATGCAAGACTCATACTGACCTCTCTGGAGCGTATGGGATAGACTCTCGCCACAGACTCCTGCGCTGCCGTCCGGATGACTGCGTAGCAGTGCTGACCAGCTACCATCAGCCCTCTCTCTCCACACTCACTGACCGACAGACCTTTTTTTCTTTTTCTTCTCGCGTAGGTCGGTGGTCTGTCAAAACTTATAAGTGGATCCCTAGAAGTTGTCCGATCAGTCCAACCATTCGGTCTTGTCTACCTGATTACGTTCTTTGGAGCTACCCTGACCGAGGTAGTTTCGAACTCCGCCACGGTTACAATCTTGGTTCCCATCATGTTTGACTTGGTAAGTCCAAAGACGTATTTTCCCTAATTTTGCTCAAATGTCGTATGTTTTCCATATTATGTGTGGAAGGAAGCATTATCATTGTAACGAATACGGCTGCGGTGGTAGGGTATTAATCCAAATAGACATTCACGCAGGGGGTTTGCAGATGGCGGTTGTCCATCTAGAGCAATTACAGATATCCAGAAATTTGCAGTCGATTTTTTGCCGGCAGGGATTTCTGTTACTTTTTCCTATAATTGTTCAGAATTCGATCGGGCAGCAAAGGACTAGAAACGCATGATTTTATACTCCCCACACTTAACCAAATTTTCGCCTGCAAATAACTTAACTGTGAATAAACTTTTATCTAAGGCCAAGTCAATCAATGTCCATCCGTTTCTACTGAGTCTTCCACTGACCGTCGCAACTTCGCTCGCATTCATTTTGCCCGCGGCTACTCCGCCTAATGCAATCGTCTACTCCAAGGGCCGGGTCAAACTCCTCGACATGGTACGCACGGCAAATTTGAGCTTATGTACTTCTAAATGGGTCTCTTTTCTTACGCGTTGTAAGAAATGATGTTTTCTTATGCATCCCACGAAAAAGGGCCTTTAAAATGACTTATGGATAGGTTATGCGCTCCTTAAATGCGTAGAAGTTAATTTCAGGACTTAGGAACAACTGTAAGAACGGAAATAATAGAACAATGATGGAATATATTTATATGTATATTTAAATTTATTTCTATACTACGTTCTTGGCATTCTTATTTGATATGTACACCTGGTATCTGTTTACATTACTTTGCATATTTTCGTTCTAGGCGAAGGCAGGAATCATTTTGAACATAGTCACGCAGCTTATCGTTGTTGTATGCACCATGACCTACGGAATGGTGTTATTCCAGATGAACGAAATTCCTTCCTGGGTTTAACATGGATGTGAAGATATTCTCGCTCAGGACCTACTACACAAATCTGTCAATTTTTACAGTAATAATTTTGATACACACTAGTACAAACCTCAGACAGAAACCTTACCCTTGAATTGTCCTTGAGACACTGTTTTCTCCGAGAAATGCATTTCGGCCCTTAAAAGTATTTCATAAATGTCCAGTAACATGCTTGATTTGTCAATAAATGAGAATCAGAATCGAACGGGCTTCCGTAAACTGGGCGTCATGTTGTTTGTAAGGAGTAAAACCAGTTACTGGGATTAACCGTGCCTTCGTCCAAACTACCCTATCTCCGTTGACAATTCGGATTCCCGAGTTTTGAAAGTGGGCTCGGATACAGCGGCTGATAAATCTAAACATCCTGTCTACGAGTTTGACACACGACCAGCCCTGCACAATGAGCTAGATTTTCGCCAGAGGAGGAGCGCGAGGGTCCGGACATGCAGAGTCTACTACACATCTAGGGAGTTCCCCAGAATTTCGTAGTCAGCTTAGACGCGCGTCCCAGGTAACCCTTCGTTTGACTGATTGTGAAATTTAGTAAGTAATGTATTCCGAATGATAGAGAACACGCGTGGTCCAGGTTATTGAATAGAAGAAGACCGGAAGGCGATCGGACGTTTCGAGCTCTCACGCGAGCCCATCGTCAAGGAACGAAAAAACTGAACAACTCATCGTATATTTAGCTCACCACTGCTGGGGGTGACCTCTAGCTGCGTTGCTGATTTGTTCACGCAGTGCTTGATAGGCGATTGGCAGATCGATATGTCGATTAGTCGAGTCCTCGCCTGACTGCCACTCTTCCTGCAGAAGGCGAGCAACTCGGTCGTCTGAATGGCATAATATTTTCACGCACTGAAAGTCGAAACCGTGTCCTGGCTAGGAGGCGTGGGCGGCTACCGAGGCGAATTTATCCTTCTGTCTCACAGCCAACTCGTGTTCGTGCAATCTCGTGCGTACCTGTTTTCCGGTTTCACCAACATAATTGGCTTGAACACAACTGCAGTCTATCCGGTAAATGACCCCCGATTTCTGATTGATGGGAATCGGGTTCTTAGGATGCATGAGTTGCCGGCGTACTGTTGCTTCAGGTCTGTGAGTGACGCCAATCCCAAATTCGCTCATCAGTCTAGCAAATCCTTCTGATACACCAGCTACGTACGGCATTGAGCGTTAGCATTTCGGTTTTGATTACCCCTTCGGTTTTCTCCCCCGGGTTTCTCGCCTGCACTTTTTGACAAAATTCCCAGGATATCCGTTCGCTGTGAAGAGTTTCCGCAGGAACTGGACCTCAACCTTCTTGTCGACTGGCTCGGTGCAATGGGTTTCTATACGCCGGTAGAGTGTTCTCACGCAGCTGCGTTTGTGCGAGAGCGGGTGGTTGCTAAGAGAACTTAGAATACGAGAGGTATTCGTTGCCTTCCGGTAAACCGTTGTCTTTAATGCTCCATCACCTTTTCTCTGAACTAGTACGTCAAGAACCGGCAACTGACAGTCTTTTTCTTCCTCCATCGTGAACTGGATGTCTGGGAAGATCGAGTTCAGGTGTTCCGTAAATTCCCCAATCTTGTCCCGATTGATGATGGCAAATGTGCCGTCGACATACCGCACCCACAGTCGTGGCCGATTGTGGTCGAAAGCCAGTGCCCCCGTCGCTGTAACGCTGCCTCAGTAATCAAGCTGGATAACGGTGACCCTGTGGGTGTACCTATAACTTGTTCGCACACAGCTCCGTTGAAGGCGAAGAAAGTCTTCAAGCAGTGTCTCAGGAGATCAGTAAGGTGTTTTATCGTCAGTTTTTTGTCTGTCTCGTTATAATGTTCTTCCAACAGAGTTTGCAGGGTTTCAACCGCGAGACGCTGTGGAATTGGGGTGAAAAGTGATATCACGTCGAAAGAAACCATCACTTCGTCATCTGTGAGTCGAATACCTTGCAGCTTTTCGATGAATCTTTCGGCAGCATGGACGCTTGTTTCAGAACTCGGAGTGTAAATTTCAGACGCTGGAACAGCCACTTGGGCAGGACAAACGTTGGGGTGCCTCTTAAAGAAACAATCGGCCGTAGGAGAGTTCCTGGTTTATGGACCTTGGGTAGGCCATAGAATCTCGCGATCGCTGAATCCTTGGGTTTCATCCTCAGCCAGTCAAGCTGTGTTATTGCTTTTGACTTCCGAAGACTCGCTAGGTCGCTGTTGATTTCGCTTATTAGCGTCTTCGTCGTGTCGCCTTCACGAGGAAAGTAGGCAGTTCTGTCGCCCAAAATTTATCGATTTTTTTGATGAAGTCCTCTTTGTTCAGCGCAACCGTCGATCGTCCTTTATCGACAATGAGTATGACAATGTTTTTGTCAACCTTTAACGTCCGGAGTGCAAATGTAAATAAAGGAAAGGAATGTAAATAAGGAAACCATTATATCCACTTTTAGGGTTACAAGATACCGTACTAGTAGCACAGGTACTCTCTAATAGCCCAGGTACGCGTGTTTCGTCGGCATTCTGCCGCTGGTAGTATGTTATCTGTTCAGATTGGCAAAGTTGAGATATCCGGGTTGATTATTTGAAGACGATGACAGGCTCTCTGGAAGAGGTTTATTTGAGTGCTGACGTTTCAAAGAGCTGGGTCGGCTCTTCATTGTCAAAGCGAAGTCTGGAAGACCATTCCGTACGTTAAAGGGGTCTCTAAAGCGGTCTCGCGACTCTTACAACCCACCAGAGTAGGCATAGCCCATCGACCACAAGCAACAATTCGATGTCGCCTGATGCAACCTAAGGACTCGTTGCCACTCGCTGGAACCTCAGCAGTCATCTACAAAATAAATTGCAATGAGGGCGACGACAACTATGTGGGCGAAACAAGGCGGAAGTTGCAAACTCGCCTGCCAGGACACAAATCGGCCACTCGGAGGTTAGACCCTAACTCTCAACTAGCAACACACGTTAGAGAAACAGGGCATACTTTTGACCTCCAGAGGGCCACCATCTTAGACCGAGGCAACACAAAAACAGAACTGCTAACTCTCGAGGCGTGGTTCTCCGATGCCCACTCTATCAACGGACATCTGGACCTTCCTGCAGCTTACAAAGTCCTACGTCATCACAATCGTAGAGCTCAGGACCAAACAACCACACCGGACTTAAGAAGGCCGCACGGAGATAGCCCGACGCCGAGTTTACTCGGTGAGGAAGAAGAAGAAGAACCGCCAGACCGACCTCCCGACTACAGTCCAATCAGTTCCCCTCGACGGAGTGGTGACTCACAAAGCCCGCAGGGAAAACGCCCATCAACCATCTCCCGAGAGGCCGAGGCAGAGAGAGGAGGGAGAAAAATCGATCAGCATGAGGCCGGTCAACACAATTGCCACTTTAAATTAAATTTCTGATCGATTAGGTGCATTTTTCGTTTTGACAATGAAGAGCCGACCCAGCTCTTTGAAGCGTCAGCACTTAAATAAATCTCTTCCAGAGAGCCTGTCTTCGTCTTCAAATAGTATGGTATCTTATAACACTAGAACATACTACTAGGTGTCTGTTGGCAGTTAATGGATATTACGCAGTTATCCCGCTGTAGCTGATGGACTTTGGCCCAAATCTTCATACATCAAGTTGCGGTCTGCGCCTAAAGACCTAAGCATATGCCGGCCTACTCCAAGTTTGCAGTTAATTTCTTATATCCACTTCCTATAAAAAACAGCGTAGCGTTAAACTGAGCTCTAATTTCGTACTAACGTTACGGCTGGGATTAAAGTTACACCTACGAGACCTGGCCACGTATTCAACTTCGTCGAGGCTGAAATTCACGCGGGAGGTGATAATCGCGTGGGCCGCGGTCTGCTTGAGTTAAGATTCACGGTACCCGACCGCATACTCTGCGCAGAGTAATTGGCCACTTGGGGAGCGCGTAATCCGGTGAGCGTGATGGCTGAGCCGTCATCACATCAACATCCAACATGGATGATTAAATTTCAGTAATTGACAACAAGGGGGGAGTTAGCTGCCATAGGTATGAAGTAACACAGCAATCGCATCATATGAATACTGAGACTTCCTATGCATGGTAGGATGGAGGGCGAACCCGAAACGTCAGGTAAATAAGGTTTTTGTTCCGTCGATCGCATCTACTTCTTCTCGCTACGCTGATCGTTGGCGCTCTCGTAAGGCTTAGCGCTGGCCTACGATTAGGGTTACTGCTATTACTTAGGAGTGGTTGCATATGTTTTACTTCTGAGGTTGTTATTTAAAGCACCCAAGGATCGAATGACTACACTTAATCCACGAATACAATCCTGTCAAAATTGCTGTTCACTTCAGAGTGGAGAGATCAGAAGAACTCCCCTCCAAGGATACTTTGAAAACCACGACACTTTTTGCCCACCTTAATGAAGCGCGTAAGAACAGGCCCCTATTGTGCCTCGCGATTTCAAAGACGAAATAACTAAGAGAAGGAACAGAGATTGTAGAGTCCTGTCACATAGGATCTCAGGAATTAAGAAACCACCTCTCCGTAGGGCTGAATGAACAAGTGCAACCAGATGTGTTCCTTAGAGAAGTCAAAGTTAACAAGCGCACTGTATGTCACTGAAGGCAGAGAAAAGTAAAACTCAACCAATAAAATGGGTAATGGTGAGAGACTGAGATGATTGAAGGTGTCTAACCATACCGAATGAAGGGAAGGAACTATAGCCTGGTTCTCAGGTCAAGAGAACTTGGGTGGGAGGAGGGGGTGTCAGCAGTGAGGCGAGTTTGTGTCTCATCGCTGAAACGCATTTCTTTGTCCCTAAAGCGGGCCAGGTGGTAGAGGTAACCATTGGGAGATGGCACCTAAAAAATCCTCTCAACCAAGAAATAATACCTACTATATCTATTTGAGTAGGTTATAGCCCTACGTATTTGTTGTGTCATCCGGGTTTGCCAATCACCAGCAACGACTCTTGAGGTTACCAGCGACAGCACTAGCCCGTATGTAGCTTAATCAATGGCGGC